ACAAGGATTTCTTGTCATTCAGGGCTCCTCTCATTTAGAAGAATCGGTCTCTATTCAGCTGAATAAAAACGTAAAGCTTGAAGGAATCTTCTGGTTTCCTGTATTTCTTTATCAAGGAAAACCTCAGAACCTGCATATCATTTTTGGGGAGCCTGGCTTCCAGGAGAGGTGCTTGGTTGGTACTAGGAAGGCTCAGGAAAGGGGATGGCACCAAGCGTGCTCCGGGATTTCCTGGAGGTGCCCCCCTTCTTGACTCTTCACTGTGGTTTTTCACAGGAACCAGTTTTTTCTACCTTTTGGTTGCCTTTTACTGGATTCCTGCATACTCAGGAGGGCTGAAGATAAGATAGGACACACATATATACATTACTTTGTTGCACCGGCTTGCCTGGGGGAGTGTGCATGTATGTAAAAGTGTGTTTGTATCCTTGAATTATTTCCCACTGTTGACCAGAACTGGGTGGAAGAATTTGTGCGAGCTGCACCTAGCCCCCCCCCTTATGGAGGGTTCTGGGGGTGCTTAGAAAGCAAGGGGCATTAACTTTGTACTCTCGTGCTCCAATGGGTTGTGAGTGATGTGTGGTTTGTGGTTTGTGGTTGCTCCTTATATATTTCCCACTGTTGACCAGGCCTAAGCATGATACTGATCTTAGTTGAAAGTCAGTGGATCTCTTGTGGCCCAACAGGCTGTGCAAGTGGTGTGAGTAACTTGAACACATGGGCTCAGCCCATGAAGACCAGTTAGAATGAATAAAAGCAAGGGAGGTGCCCTCAGCCCCCTTGAGTATGTCATAAGGAACTTTGGTAAGCTTAAAACCCATCAGGATATGAAATTGAAACTCTAATTAAGTATAATGCCTTCTGTCACCAAGCCATACCCACTGTTTGGCCCACAGGAGGATCCATAATTTTTGGAGTTTTTGAAACCATGGGAGACTATGCTTAAAGAGACATAGATCATGATCAGCATGCTTAATATGCTCTTTTTTTGTGAGACCTTACACGAGAATAAGCAGGTGCTTTAAGACTGTGAGTTATGGTGACCTTCCGCAGCACCACCTTGTCCTGCTTTAGCTTCTGCTCCACCACCCTATAAGGGGATGTACTCCCTCACAGGACAGGTAGCTATTAGAAGGGGGACACTAATAAGGTCCTGGTTCATACCCCCTTCTCTACATGGGAGGATCGATTGGGTTCTTACACTGAAACCCCACGCAAATATTCTGAATTGGTTCTGTCCATTCTTCAAACTTATTCCACTAACTGTGCAGACCTCCAAGTCATGCTGGATGTCTTTCTAACAACAGAGGGAAGGCGTCTGGTAGGAAATGCTGTTTTAAAAAAAAGTTACAATGTTTGAGAATATAGCCCCAAACCTCTTATGCAAACACAATACACATGTCAGTTGTGGGGCAAATAACATGAGCAGACATTTTATTTCCTCCCTAGATACAATTCCTGCAGCTGCAGAAAAAGCAGCAAATATAGAAAAGGAGAATGTGTATTTCTTTAATGTAGAACAAAGGAACGCTGAGTAACTCAGACTTGGGAGGAAAAAGTAGGCTAAAAATGAATAAAAGTGGTTGACACTGAGCATAGCAAGCTGCCAGAAAGTGGATTTTATTACAGAAGCCAGACAGATAACTGATTCAACAATGACTTGGACTGGCTAGTAAAAATCACCTAAATGCGTGGTCCAATTTGTACTCTTTCCTATTTTAAGTTTTGATGAGATTTCTTACTTTCCAATTTGTTTTTTTTCCCCTTTCAGCAGGATGGATTAATCCTATCACCCAGGGAAGGAAGTGAGTTGTTGATGAAGTTTTTGTCTTATCATATGTGCTGGTATGTTTGGGGTTAATACTGGTATTGGTTTTTATGTGTGTGTAGGGCAAACTTGTCAGCTTTCTGTTGGTTTGTTCATAGTTAGCGCTTATCACAAGTTGGACCTCTTTCATA